GAACTGGAATCACTAGAGTCACTGGAATCACTGGAGTCACTTGAGCTACATGAAGAGCTGGAATCACTGGAGTCACTTGAGCTACATGAAGAACTAGAATCACTGGAGTCACTAGAATCACTGGACTTGCAAGAGTCACTGGTGTCTTTTGATTCTCTGGAACTTTTATTGGCACTAGTGTGAGATGAAGAACCACTGGGATCATCTCCCTGCATGCCTTCGTCGTCAAAGTCATAGTTGTCTATTGTTTCTTGGAAGGTGAATAGATCAGCAGCATTCTCTGCTTTATCATCGCTATGTCGTTTTTCATAGGGTGTCTTACTCATTTCACGTTCCCCAGGCTTTGCAAATAAGAGCACTTCATTATCTTGGGCTTCTACACTTTTCTGAACACTAAAATATTTAAGATTTCCATCTCTTGTATCTGCCCTAGTGCTTTCAAAACCACGTACTTCATTTGTGAGATTTCTAATGGCAGCCGTGTTCTGTACATTTCCCTCTATGACAGGAACTCTGATTTCATGATTTACTTTATCTTCACCATAGCTGTCATCACCACTGAAGTCTCTGAATATGTAACTGACATAAGTCGTTGTACCGTTTTCAAATAAACCAGCGTCTCTAATACTCAAAGTGTCTCCTGAACCACCATTGTCACCAGACTGCTCCTCAGAACTGCTGTCAGAATCCTCCTCTGAACTGCTTTTTGACTCAGAACTGCTTTTAGAATCCCCGTTTCCTCTCCCAGAAACATCTCTATCCAGGCTGAGAAGAGTGATATTCCCATTGAAGTGGAACTAAGTTGAAAACAAAATAATAGCAGACCTGTGTTAGTTTTAACTCATCATATATTCAATCATATCGCATATCCTTTATGCCCTATTCATTTAATGATTTCTATATATAAATCTAATTATACCTTTCCGGTTTTGGTATATTTGATGGTCAAGCGGTCTTCAAAATATATTTCACTGACAGTGAAAAATAAGGACTGTATTTTCAAATAATTATTTGAGCATGTAACAATCTAAATGTGTTCCGGCAAACCTAGGTTTTATATCACAGTTCTGATGTAATTATACAATGCTATGGGCACATGAAAACGATAGAACTCAATTTGTAATGTGCAAACCAGTGACCATCAAGTATACCTGACCTAGGGCTAAGTCAAGCCCATTAACCCCAGAAGTGATATATGTCTCCAAAAGGACTGTACCACTTAAAACTCTTTCAAAAGCCTGGAATCTGCAATGATAGAGCATGATGGTATAGAATGAACAGCAGATAGGGAATATTCTAAGTTCTGAATGGATGCTAATGGACTGGTGTACCCCTACAGGAAGAGAGCAGCCGTGTCTTCTCAGCTTAACCTGCCAGCCTTTACTTCTAGACTATGGGATAATCTCTCGTTTGCTACAGACCTCACTAGTTTAAGCTAGTTAACTAGTCACTAGTTCACATAGCAGCTATGGAATTCAGAATGGAGTGGTTGTCACTTCTAAACTGTAAATCGGCACATTGATATATATATATAGTAATATTTAAATGGGCACGATGGGTACACCAAAGAATGAAAACCTTGATTTACTGTTGTTTAAAGGACAATGCATAATGCATAAATGTGTGGTAATTAATTTGACCAATAATGCAATATCTACACGACATTCTTACCTCTTCTTCTATGGCACTGCTGTTTTTACCACTTGCCTGGGAGGAAACAAACAGAAAATAAAAAAACTACTATTGCAAAGAGCTGGAAAGCAAAGTATACAGGATGTCAATTACTGAATCCAACTGCAATCAAGATAAAACTGATACTGATGCATATGGAAGATTTACAGTCTGTTGTCAGAATATCAAACAGTTCCTCTCTATTTACTGCTACAGGAGAACATAAGAAAGATCACAAGGACACTTGACCAATCCAGAAAGCTCTGCAGCGATTAATTGATCCAAAGATCTCATTCGCCCTTTTCTTTAAAGAAGCCTTTGGTTTTGCTTAAACACAGTTTTACTACATTTTCACATGTACTTTTGTGTAGTTTCCACTTGTGCTCCATGGTTAATGTTTCCCTGTTCATTCTAAAGAAATCTGTACACAATAAATGGTCAACTTTCTCTTTTCTCAAAAATCCTCAAACTTTTTTGAGGACTTTGAATACTTGAATCAGGTGCCCTCATAGTCTTTGTTCAAGACTACAAAAAGTGGGTCTCCTTGAGCCTGTCAGTGTAAGATATTCCCTTAAGGCCCACAATGTATCTTGTGTAGATGGCTTCCAGCTCAGCAATATTTTTTCTCCACTGATGTGACTAAAACAATAAACAATATTCTAAATGAGGGACATACTAGTGTATTATAAAAATAGAACATACTGTAGAAATCCCTTTATTTAAATTCTGTGCTTTTACCTATAAGTCCTATCCTTTTGCCTGTTTAATTGCTTTCCCATATTTTCTAGATGGTGTGTCAACATAAACTACTAAGTCTTTTTTCATATGAAGTATATTCTAGATCAGATCCCATTTTGTATTTATAGTTTTTTACTACTTGCAATCAAAACCCTGCTCTGTTCTACATTAAATGTCATCTGCCAGGTGTTTTCAGTCTTGAATTTTATCTAATTTAAAAAAATAATAATTTTGCTGCTTCTACAGTGTTGGCTTGCCCTCCTTATTTATCATCTGCAAACTGGTTTATTAACTATACCAGAATTTAGATAATTGAAATAAATTAAGAAGAGCACTGGTCCTACAGCTGATCCCTGTGGTACTCCACTAATTATAATCGCTAAATTTATGCATTCACCCTTCGTCTGTACTGAAACTGGTTATTTAATAACCCGTCTTCAAGTCAAACACACATTTTTCTGAATGCTTACCACCACAAATTTAAGAATTAATCATTAATTCTTAAATTCTTAAAAAGCCTTCTGAAAATGTACTGTAAATATGCCACATCATATACTCTATATATAATGTTTATCCATTGCTGTTGTAGCTTGTTAAAAAACTCTAACAAGATAGTTAGGCAAGACTTAACTCTTCTTAATCTGTGTTGACTATTATGATATAATTTTCACAAAGGTGGTCTTATGGTGTATTTCTAATAATTATTTTCTTAATAGAAATCAGACTTATTGATCTATAATTACTTGATTCAGTTTTCTCGACCATTTCAATGATGGGTACTTTGTTAGTAATTTGCCAGTCTCTGGTACTACTTCTGTCTTAAATTAAGTGTTGGAAAAGTTGCATCAATGCCTTCTGAATAACAGAAACAGAAGGATTTTTGCAAAGACTTTTCAAGACTTAACATTATGAGTATTGTATTGCTATTTTCTGTGAGCTCTGTCAATGAATCCAGTCTGCCTTTGGCTCTATCATTGTTTAAAGTATATTAAATTTAATCTGACATTTATGATTATTTATAAACAACAAATAAAAGCATAGCATGTATATATGCTATACAAAAACCAATAGACTTTTTCAGCTAATCAAGCTATCTGTTTCCTGGATGTGGAGAAACTTTCCCAGTATAAATAGAATACATTTGAATACTGACAGATCTTAGCTGACCTATACTTGTAAGACTTGCTATTTCATTAAATTAATGATTTACTGTACTTACAAGAATGACATCTTCTTGGGGAATCTAGAAAATAAAAAGGCCATGAGATGCAATTAGATCTGAAATGTCTGCTTTTGAATTCTAAATTAAACAGGTATTATTACACTTAAGTACAGCGATAACTTACTGGAAGTGTGTAGCCCATCCCTAACAAGCAAAATAGAAGCAAAATGGTCTTCATGATCCTGCTCATTTCTGTGAAAATAGGTCATAGAGCACAGTATTAATAACAACACTCTTCCAACAAATATTGTTGATAAGATGAAAGCTATGTCTTTAAATCATTGAAATAGGTGACACACACCTGTGCTTTAAAAGGACACATGCAGTTCAGTGATGACATAGTTCTAACACAGTGCATTGTGAAGTACAGTACATATGAAGGAAAAAAAATGCTTTCAGGCATTTAAGACCCCATCAATGTTAACCTGCATCTGTATAAGGTAAAAATGCATGCAGTAAGTCCTGTTTGCTCTTTGAACTTGGTTTGGACTGATGGTAAATATTTTGCAAAATATGTAAAGCAAAACAGGTGACTGTGATGTTCTCTGCTCTCCTCTGCGCTGTTTGCTCTCCAGAAAATTGGAGGCAAATGTAATGATGAGAAGCAGATCAAAATGCAGTATTGCACGTAACAGAAATATCGAATTCAAGGCAGCCTTTCTCCTTACCTTACAGTTTTGCTTAGTGGCTATGGGCACTTCAGCTCTGAGAAAGCTGTTTCCAGGAGCAGGCAGGTCTCCTTCTATGGACTGCGAGCTCTTCTTGATTGGTGGTTTTTTAAAGGGCCTCAGGTAGAACACAACAAATCTCTACACCGTGACGAAAGCAAGGCTGTAAGGTGTGACTAACTTTCACTTGAGGGAGGGAAGATCCCACACACTCCTTTGTCTTAAGATATATTTACCCCCCCCAAAACAAGCTCCTATGACCAAATAATAGCTAAGGAGGTTTCTGCTTGATTGGGGGCCTTATCAAAGATTTATGTTTTGGGCTCTAAATGTATATAATTACCACAAAAAAGTACTGTAAGGAGAATATATATTAAACCAATTTCCACCTTCACAACTCCATTACTTACTCCATTACTGCAGTTCCTTTAGGAAAATATTTACATTAACAAGTAAGAAGCACATCCCTTCCCCCTTTCTCCTTTACCGTTTGAGTCAGGTGGCTCATAGCAGTTTATTTTAGGACGTGCACAAAAATGCACAAAAACAGTACTCCACATTTACTCCACATTTTCTTTTTCATATTTAGTTTCCATTGATGTGAAGTTTTGAGTATTTTCATTTAAGTACTGCTTACAGGGATTTGCATGTTGACTAAGGATTTAAAGATTTGAAAATAGTTGCTACGCATATATCATGAAATGGTTTTTAATTTGAAAAAATGGAGTGTAACATACAAAATATTCTTCAGTATGGTTTAAGCCTTGAGTTCAGAAATGCTTTTTAACTTAAAATTTGAAGTTCTATGTATACAGTTCTTGTAACACCTGAACAGCTAACCTTCAGAATGAACTTTTGTGGTGAGTCATAATTACATCTGGTCAGACTGTTAGGAACGTGCCTGTTGTAAATACAAAACAAGTGCTTAAACCTTTTATTGCTCTGAAGACACTGTGGTGTGTAATACAGTACCTATTCTTTACAAAATACATGTTTAGATGACTATTGTTGATAGCCACGTTTTCTCCCTACCAAAAGTTTATTTGCTGGCATAGATTAATCATAACAAAACAATTGTCATTAGTTGTACTTAACTTCATAAATATGTTGAATATGTTGAATGCCAAAAGGATCAAAGGGTAACTACATAATATTCTGCATAATGTTTACAGTTTTACATTTTAGAATGAAAAATTATCAGTAACGTTCAGAAGTTAAGGAAATTCCAGCAGTGAAAAGTGCCTTTAATACCTCTCTCTTATTCCTGATTGTGCACAGTAAATTGTTGTTACTTTCTAGCCCAAAAGAGTGATGAAGTGAGGTTATACAGTATAAGATCAAAGCTGGAACAACAAAACTGAGTAAATTACTTTGGATGTGGCAACACCAGAAAATAGAGGATTCTGGTATATCCTTTGTCATCATATGACATAGCGTGGCATGGCGGTGTTAGGGCCTCATAGCTCTTGGGTTCAGTTCTGGATTGGGTTCCTTCTGCATGGTGTCTGCACGTCTCCTCATACTAGGTGCTCCTGTTATCTCCCACCTTCCAAAGACGTGCAAAGATATGCAGCCTTGATTAATTGTTAGTTAACCTCTAAATCATTCCTTTGCGCTTAGGTTTGTTGGTGAGTGTGTGCCCTGTGACGGACTGTCCAGTCAAGTCTACTGTCTTACCTTGTGCCCAGAATAATATTCCAGTATATATTCCAGACTGCCACCACCCTTATCAGGATTAAGCGGTTTATTATATCTTATTGGACGATGGATCATGTTGATGTACATAGTTTTCATTGTTTTCACCAATACAATCCAGCTATATTTTGCCAGGCATAAATATAAATGTAGGAGCATATTAATGTGAAAGGATGCCTTTTACTTTCAATTAATGTCAAATCATGACAAAATTCCAAAATTACTAGACATTTCACTTTTTAGATGTAATAAAAAGGATGTACATAAAAAGTAATAACAGAAGACAGCCAACCATACCATGTTACTTACATTCCCTTATTAAAACCAATTTGAATTCTATTTAAAGATTAAATAAATAAACTATAATATTTTATTTGATGTGAAAATCCAAAACAAGTGGATATGAGCTTAATGTTAATTTATGTCATGCAAAATGGATTGTAATTGGCGGTGTCAGACAGTGTTTAGGTAAATGGGGTTCATAAAATAAAATAACTAATCTTTCGGGCAAGTAAACTAAAGGCTATAAAGCAGTTAACCAGATTGTTTAACAAACCCATTAATTTATAAGGAGAAAGAAAGCACTATATAAAACAATTAAAAAAGAACAACACATAAAAAATTATATTAGCAAATCCAAGCAAGAGATGGAAGAGAATATTGCAATGGAAGATAACAAATATTTTTTTTCGGTATTAGATCATCAATAAAAAAGCAAATGATGTTTAGGAAAAAGCAATGTATGATTTTAGTTGAATGAGAAAATGCAATGGCTAATACATTTAATGAATACTATCTAATTTTTTTCTGTTTCAATTTACATTCCATTAAATTGGCAAAGGCTTTTATTCACAGTATAGCATTGGATTAAGGATGCAAATAACAGCACCAGTATGCTAAGTATGTCTCATGTCTCAGGCGGAAGAAGTCCCCGAAGAAGGCTCCACAGTCGAAATGTTGTGTTTCTTTTCTTCTCTTTTTAGCATGGAATAAACCTTTACTTGTTCTTTTGCAGCCTACGCGTGCTGATGCAGCTACTTACTTGAATGGCTATTAGTATTAGTTAATTGAGGTTACAAGTTCTTGAAGCACTTAAGAAAAGCACTTAAAAATGTGATATCTGGTGTTATTTTATTTAAGGGAACAGGGTATATTTTTCAGAGACAGTTTCCAAAAATATTCCTGAAGCCACTCAAGAGTGGACTAATATACACTGACTGGCCAATGACACCAAAAGCCTTATTTGTATTTCACAAGAAGTATGGATATGATCATTTGAACAATCATTTATTTGGAAATAGGATTCAAAGGATAGTCAACATGGATGTATGAAACGTGAATCTTTCTCAGCTGTTTTTAAACAAGTATTATGGGGGTCTGGAACAAACTACCCTGCCATTTTGTTGAAGCTGATACCCTGTGTTCTTTCAAGAAATGTTTCAAAGAGATACAGTACTTTGACCACTTATAGTAGCTGCTCATAACCACATGAGCTAGATGGGCTCATCTAGGTGTTAGGTGTTACTATCTTTGTGGGAATATTTTCTCAGATTTTGTCCCCACATCGACAGCAATGTATGCCCATACACATGCAGTACATCTATAAATTAAACATTACTGCCTAACACAGATGGTATTGCTGCCTAGCTAAATTAACACAGCTATAGTTAACTGTTACTGTCCAAAGTGGAGAGAATCTGTTGAATGCAGTGTTCAATCATTCATCTAATAGTATGTTAATACGAACCCCTATGAAGAATATTAGTAATAAAACATAGACAATGTATGTTTTGTGTGCAATGGATTACAGTATGGCATGGTGACATAGTAGTTAACACAGATTTCCATGTTCTCTTCATTCTGTAAAATGGTTTTCAATCCACTTTTAAAGAAAGATGAAAAGGGCTGTGTTAGCTATAATGAAATTAGAATGATACAGTATTCCAAATTCTATTTGTTCCTATATCATAATTTCTTTATTACTCTTTGCATTGAATTACTGCTGTAATTCTAATTGTATTTCTTATAAAGCAGGGGTGTAGCAATTTAAAAGAATGTTTCATGTATTCTCTAGTTTCTGCTCTACTGAAAACCAGATCAGTTAAGGCTGCATATGAGGTGAGGTGTTACTGAGAATCTAAATGAGCTTTTTTTCCTGCTGTACATATCAGATTTACTTCATAAAGAATTAGCAATCATTGTTATTAAATGATTAAAAAACAGAAGGCAATAAAATTGTTGAAAACTTGTTTGCCACAGCATTCTGCAGAGTCAGCAAAGAAAATATTTTGTGTACATTACTCTCTTAATGTTCTTGTCAGCATTTTTAACACTGAGTACTGTCATTTAGAAATCACAATAAAATAAATCTATGTAATTTAATGCAAACTTGGCAATTTTCTCTGCAGGTTCATTCTTGTGATTTAGTTACAACTGTGTTATGAATGTATGAATGTACACTTTTGCACCTGTAGTTCACAATTATACAAAATATTATATTGAATGCTTTTGAAATACAGTATATATAGCACTAAGAAACAATGATAGAAACTGTGAGAATAATTTGAAACTATGAACATTTAATAATACTTTAGTTGATAACTGGTGTAGCCTTAGTGCTGAAGAAGTAGGAGTATACCTTTATTTGAGTATTATTTCAATTCACGGTTCAATGAGTTCAGTGAAAGACAATTCTCTTTGCATCCATTAGCAGAAAGATACTTATTCCTGGAAGGGGTAACCCAGAGCCTGTGCTGAATGCATAGGCCAAAACAGAACTACATCCTGGGTGCAGAAGCCAGTCAATCCAAGGACAAGCACACAATTTAGAGACACCCATTAATGGGTGGAAATCAAAGCACCTGGAGACAATTCATGCAGACAACATAATGGGACACGTGCCCAGGATCCAAGAGCTTTGAAACAGCAGCACTCACCACCACACAACCCTATCAGCAGGAAGCAATAGTTTAAAACAATTGAAAGAATTGCCCCTCTCTAGTGTTTAAACTTTTTGTTCTACCAAACAAGCTTGCATAGTGTTGCAGCAGTTTTCCTTTCAGAAACTCCTGAATGAGAGATGTAATTATCTAAATGGAGGCACGAAGGCTGAAATTGCTATGTAGTGAGTGCAACTATTATTTATAGTTTTCTTTTGTGCTTTCTCCTAAATGGTGACAGAGAACCAGCTTATGGATGCTTGAGATATTTTCATCCAAATGACAGCATGTGTCCAAAACATTGCATCATGTGTTGTTGTATCGGTTTAAAAAAATGTGCTGACTACAGGCTGAATGCTTCCCTTATTTTTTTTGCATGTGAAGACCCTGTTCATTGAATTTAAAAAAACATACGTTCAAATACTTTTTTTTTTAAAAGGAAGGAAGTTTATAGAACATATCTCTACCATTTCATTACACAAGCACATCACGGTGAAACAATTTAACAAGCTGGTGTATTTTCTGTACAAGACAGAACAGACAACATATCCCAAGCCTTTTATGAATAAAGTTTATAGTTAGAGTTTGTAAAACCTTGAAGAACAAGTATATTCCCTGGGGCTCTGTGTGTACAGCAAAACACCCACACATCCATTATCCCACATAGTCACTTGTCCTTGTGAGGGTCACAAAACGGGGCTTTGAAAAAAATCTAATATAACTAATATAATCTAATATATTTTCAATTCATACTCTGATAATTTGTATGTCTAGAAGGGCATGGATTTCTACTGGTCGTCCAAGACACCAGTCTAGTTTTCATTCCATCCATACTTTATTCAATACAGGGTCACAGAGGGGCTGGAGCCTATCCCAGCAAGCTACAAGTACAAGGCAGGATACATCCTGGACAGGATGCCAGTCTATCGCAGTAGAGAAACAGACACAGACACACTGGGGCCAATTTTCCCAGAAGGCAGCGAACCTACCAGTTTGTCTTTGGACTGTGGGAGGAAACCTGGGCTCCCACACAGACACGGGAAGAACATACAAACTCCAAGCAGATAGTAGCAACTGAGGAACTGAGGAATTGAACCCAGGGCCCCAGCACTGTGAGGCACCAATGCTAACCACTGTGCCATCAGACACCCATTTTAGTTCCTACTGAAAGCAATTTATGAGAAGTGAAAATAACAACAGCAATCAAAGTTTTAGTTATCAACATAGTTTCCTGGTTTATACATTTATAATTTGTTTTTTCAGATTCAGATTCAGATTTCAGATTCAGATTTCCTTTCCAGTTGAAAAATTAATCACAAAATCATTCAATGAGAAAAATAAATTATCCATCTACTTTCTACCTGCTTGGAGGAAAAAAAGCTTATTTTGTGTATCATTCCCATTTTGAGTTGCTGCGATAACCTATAGTTGAGTTTTGTACTGTTTGCACTACAATGTGTAAAGAGTTTATTTGTGTATTAATGTGACCGTGCTCTGGGATCCTTAAATATGATGAAAAAAACTTTCAAAACATCACATTTTTATTTCTTACTTTGGTAATTTATGAAGTAGAAAGTAAGAATAAACGTGTACAATGAAATATCTTTTTAAATTCAGTAGCTTTTAATAAATAAAGTTATCTGGGATCTTCAATAAATAAGTACAAACTTAAATACTGTGATATTATGAAAATATATATTCAAAAATATGAAAAGAAAAGATCAAACACAGAAATAAAAACAAAAGATTCAGATTTGCTTTAAATGAATAAAGACTTTACATTTTATAATTGATACTTTAAAGCACAGATTAATGATTTCTGTGACATATCCATTCCTGATTTTTTTTTATCTTACAGATATTCTAATAATAGCAATTAATTTCATTTCAGTCAAGAATTACATTTGCCTTGAGTACATTACATATATTTGGAGGTTAGTGTCTTTAATTCCATGTTAAACAGAACTATTATTATAATAATTACCTCCTGGACAAAATTACTTTTTAATATATAATTATATATTTTTTATTTATAAAACACTAAAATGTCACTTAAATAATAAGAAGAGTTCTCATTGTATAATACAACTATCTCTTTGAATATAAAGAGATTTCAATAAAAATATAACAATGTAAAGTAATAAGAGCAAAAGATATTTCCTTAAACATAATGCTGGCATTTATAAAGTCATTGTCTAAAGTTAATACAAAGCTCAGAAAACCTGCTCATACTATACTTCAGTTTCCACAATTTATACACCAGATGTGTAGCAAATCAAACATATTGTAGAAATGTTTTTGTTCAAAGTTCACTGTGATAATAAGTGTGAAACTGAAAAAAAATCCATCGGTTTGTATTGCATTATGATTTCTTTGTGTGCATGATGTTCGAAAATTACCAGATTCAAAATTAACAGAAGGTATCTGCATATATTGCAAATTATTTATCAATATATTGATTGAACTCTATTGCCTTGATGTTGTGAATTTGAGTCTGGTGATTTTAAATTGAAAGGTAAAAATAGGAAAAGGAAAAATAAAATAAACATTTCTGAATATAAAGTGCACATTGTTGTGCTAATTTAGACAAAACAAAATTGACAATTTTTTTTGTTTCAGTCTTGGGATTGTAACAGCTATACAGGAATCCACTGACATAATGCATTTTTTTAATCCTTATATATCAAGTTTTGTTTTCCTTGCTTCACTATTTACCACACATCTATTGTGCACAGTTGTTTAAAAGACGTCAACCAGCTGACATTTTCCCTGAACTTAGAGTAAATATAAAATAAAAGGCTTTAGAAGAGAAAAGACAGTTGAAACAATCACCAGGAGTGCGCTTCGATTTGCCCATCGTCAAGCATGAGCAAATCATCATTTAGCTCATAGGTGTCGTCTCCGATGTCGCCGAAGGAATACTCGTCGCTTTCCTCGTCGCAGTCGTCGCTGTCCCCGTCTTTATCGCACTTTTCTCCTTTTCTGTAGCCGCCTTTGTCGGCGTTGCTGTCGTTACCGTCGCTTTCCGTGCTGTGGCCGTTCTCGCTGTTATAATCCTCCCCATCTTTTTCCTCTTCCTCCTCGTTACCGTCTTCCCCGCTGATGTCTCTCCGGTCGCTCGTATTGTGCTCCGTGCTGTGGCTGTAGGTGCTGTCTTCATCGCTTTTGAGTTTGATCTTAAAAACTCTTACCCTGTTCTGGTGATACAAAATTCCAAGACATTCCTTAAAATCAATACCACCTTCCAGTGAACAAAGTTTATCACAGAAATAAATGTTATTGTGTTTGTTCTGCAACCTCTGTAGGATGTGAATAGTACACATATGTTTTTAAAATAGTTATTTGAACATCAAGAATTAAAATATCAATTGAAGTGACTGTTTTTGTATTCCTATAGGACATGGCTTTGCCCCCTGTGCAGATTATTTGCATTTGATTTCGAGTTTTATTTGACAGTAATAAAACCATTTAGCTGAAGTACATGTAAAATACTTTCTAGTCGAGTCGAATTGAAGGGGATACGTTGTTGTTGGGTATAGTTATACACAAATAGGAAAGACTTTAAGAGAGCAAACGCCATACAGCATCATGACAGAAATGGAAAGGATATGGAAGTGCATTTAAAATTGAGAACGGGAGGGAGTTTCCTTTACACAAAGTCTTGAACAAGACACCCAGCCATGTACGCTGATACGTCCACTTTTTTCTTTCACATTTCAGTATGAGTTCCTTGGATCAACTGGCTACAAAGAATGAAACCACCTAAATGGGCTGATGATTCTTCTCATTTGCAGACCTTCTTATGCTCCCATGTTCTTTAATTTAGTGTAGTTCTTAATGAAATGAGGAAGAGGAAGAAAATAGACTTCTTTTTTAATTAAACGGACACATAATATACAGGAAATGAAACGTACCCTTCTGATAACCTCGTCGCTGTCTCGACTGTCATCTCTGGTATTTCCATTCTCATCACTCTGCAGATTCAAAGGAATAAAACAGGTTTTTTTAGTTACGTTTTCCAAATCTAATTAATTGCACTTCAATAGCAAAGCACTTTACTTATGGGAGGTGACTCACTTCATATACAGTACCACTGATGTAAAGCACCCCCTGGCTGGAAAGCATCAGCTGTTATGCCTGTGCCAGCAGACCCACTACACAACTGATCAGGTGGGGAAGTGACAAACTGCTTTGCCAACTCAACAGAGGGGCTGCTTTAGGAAGGCCGATTGTGGAGGCCCAGAGTGGATTACAGCCTGGACAGAAGGGTTAACAGCCCTACGAACAATGCCAGGGGAATCTGTAATAATCAAACAGTCAGGATCTCAATCGAACATTTAATGTGTTCAATGGCAGCACCATCAGAATGGTGTCCCCAGTCACCACACTGAGGCCTAAGTTTGGAAATCATGGATCAGGGCAAAACGTATAGCTGATGGATCTATCAGCACAATTTATGGCAGCAACCTGATTTCCCATCCTAGTATTGACGACCAGGCCCAGCCTTGCTGAGATCGTGAGACTTGACAACATCAGGCTACAAGATAGCAAAGTTGCTTTCATACTGTAGTAAAGAATGACCAAAAAGGTGCAGAAGCATGGATTCAAGAATGCTAAAAGCACAGCAGACATGCTTCAGAGTACATCTCTGCTCACAACTGTGCCTCTGCACATGGAGACTTTGATTATGCAGACATGCTCCTCCTATCCATCCACCCATACACTCCTAACACATTGCAAGCTCCATGGCGTCTGACAAGGGAGGTTAGTTTCTGATTGGACGAGACGGGAACCATTCGCTGATGTCATCACAGCCCTGCAGGACTCACATGGGTCACTGCTTGCCAGAGAGCAGAGAGAGCATTGCCACTTGTGGCAAACAGCCACTGCAGGCTGGGTCCCAGAGTTCAGCCTGTTCTCCATGTGGGCAATATTACTGGCTGAGCCAGCCAGAGGCCATTAAAAACATTGATGTCATGTGTTTCAAGAATTTAAGAAAGTTGATGCCTTACCCTGCTTTCAGATGTATCATAAATCTCTTCAGATGTCTGTAAAGATAAAGATGTCATTTAGACTGTAAGTGTCAATACTGCATTTACAATATTTTGATTCCTTGAAAAATGGGATTGAGATCCTGAATAAGGTACAGTATGTGAAGTCGAGTATGGGTTACCTTGTCACCAAAGAACCTGTCCCTTTCTTCAGAGGTCTGTGAAGATACACAGAATTTTTCAGTGTTGCTATGCAGACTATGCTATTTCCACAATTAAAATGGAAAAAAAGGCATGTTACTTATTTTTGATAAATCAATTTTTGTAAAAACTAACCTTGTCTTCTGATGTACTCTCGCTTGTTTCAGAAGTCTGTAATAATGAGGGTACAGAAGGGATTTGATCATTCAAATAAGTACGGATTATTTTTGTCCTGTAGACAAAATACAACATTTTGTATGTCATTTACCTGACATGAATATAATTAATTTCAGTAATACTTATTACTGGTAACATTTAAGCAAAATATAATGAGAGGCATTAAATATGTAGCATTGTGTATTGAGTACTAATTTGTTGAGTTTTTAATGCCACTCCACATACTGTATCACAGTTCATATAACAGTTGAAACATTTCAATTAGTCCAAAGTAGAGTTAAAACAATTTTTTTCTCACCCTGTCCAATGAGCTGTCTTCTTCAGACGTCTGCAAAATATGTAATGGGAAGGGTCATATTTAAGTTGTAAGATGTAAGAATTCTGTTTTTGTTCCATTATATAAGTGAATTAGTAACCTGATGAAACACGATTATCTGGTTTGTCAAAGCCATTGTTGGGAGTGACACACAGTAGGTTTTCTTACTTTGTTCTTGTTAATAATAGGACAGATGTTTCTGTACTCTTATGGATGTGCTTTCTATTATATTGGAATCAATGTCTTTGAAATATCTTATGAATGCTTATGTTTTTAATACAGTTCAGGAAACACACACCGTAGTGCATATTTTTTTAAAATTTCCATTCACTTTTTCCTAGTGATTGCATATTGTATGTATTTTTATCTTACTTTCTCCAAGCCTTAAAAAAACACTGCATTGTTGTGTTCTATTGTAAGGTCTTTCCATTGCCTCCAAACCAGCAACACTGCCATCTGATGGTAGACACCAGCAAATGTTTTCTTTTTTTTCACAAACTTTAATACTGCAACCACATTTTCAGTACATTGGAAAGGCAGTATAATATATTAGAAACTGAATGTTGAATGTTTTATGTGGCTTGTCACTTGTAAATCCTAGTTTTAGTAAACATACCTCAACTTAAAAGTGCAATTAACACATAAACAACAAAATAAGTCCCTAACAAGTTTTCCCCATTTGTGTCAAAGAATAAATGATCATCAAATTTACTTTCTATACAGCTGCACTTGAAAAGTTGAACAGCTAGGTTAGACTAAATTCTACTAATTATTAATGCGTGATTTCTTATACATTGATGTCCATAATTTATTTTAGAGTTGATTACACTTCATTATAAAAAAATTGTTTGATCTTTTTGTATCTCAAATAAATTAGACTTGGAAACATTTAAACTAGATAGCTGCACATTATTTTCAGAACTCCGCATGGACTGCTAACTGTGGCTTAAAAATACTGTTATTGTTTGGCTGGGTCACTTTCTGTAAAGATATGTTCTCACTTACCAAATTAAACAGCCTGTTCACCTAACATAAAACTACCCCCATAATTAAAAAAATCCCAGAGTATTGTAGATAGAAGAGGGAACCTGCTTTGTCTACCTCTTGTCACCATCAGCCCCACTACACAGTAGAACAGATGCAAAATTGAGAAATTACTTCTCCAGCTGAGCTCAGGGAGACATTTAATGAAATCCAGATCCCAAGTGGAATTTAGCCAGGGCCACATTGTCGATGTCCCTGCTTTTAAGAACAGTGCCACAGGATTGTTAACAGCCAGATAATTGGAGGCCTGTTTTGATATCTGAAGGATTGCACCTTCTACAGCAAAGCATGCTTATAGTTTGGGAATTCTGGTCCTGAGGGGAGAGTGTCACCATTGGACCACTAACACCTTTTCCTGCAGCAACTACAGAAGCTTACATGCAGAACTTGCTTTTGATAATTCCTTCAGGGTGAAAATATAGTAAAGTGTTCATTGTGAAGTGGATTTTCATTTAACTATAATTACCATGTCTTCAGAAGTACTGTCTTCTTCAGAGGTCTGCAAGGGATAAAATCAGAAGACAATGACACCTCAGAAAGCTATTCCTAAACAATGGAAATTATGCACATCCACCTGTGAACTCTCAAAATTGTAAAACACAAACAGAGGAGACACTGGAAACTAAATTGAAGTAAAGTAGAAAACAGGAGGCAGTATTTTACATGGAGTATAGCGTTGTGGGAGTCGGGAACAAGCTGTTCAGGCATGTTTTTGAAGCTGATGCCATTTTTCTTTTCAAGTAAACAGCTGGGTGAGATGTTTACACCAATCAGTTGATTGGTTAAGCTAGATTGACTTTATGGCCTCCTTTTCTTATATTTGTTATGATTTTTAGATAGTTGTGTACTATACAAATTTGAAATTATATATTTTGTCATTAGAGGAGCAGCATTACAAAGCCTTTGTGTAATTGTGTGTCAAAAGGTTAAAATGTCTTTTAAAAGAGCAAATCTTTTTTCTTGAAAAACAGTTTGAATATATCGGATTGGTACTATTACCGTGTCTTCCAGTGAACTGCTTTCTTCAGAAGACTGCAAAGAAAGGTAATAAATTGTAACAAAGCTTAACTAAATCATCTCATATGACGTAAATAAGCGACACTGTAAATATTCTTCCCCTCTCAATAATATCACAATTTGTTTTATATTTTCAAAATAGCAATGATCAAACTTGTTACAGGTGAAAGATGCAGAATGTTAGCAAAACATGCTAAAATGATATGCAAAGTCTAAGTCAAATTACTGATTGCATTAGTATTCATCCCCTATAGAAAGTCCTTTGTGAAAACGTTACACTAATTATCTTTTCTTTCAAACTAATTTCTCACATCTGAACTGATATTGTGTTATCGTAGCGAAGGGATTGATAATGTATGCAATTACAAATTGCACCTAATCTTCTAATTTTCATTAAAAATCTAGTTTGTGTAACTTAATTAGACAGGGGTGGGTTTTGCAGATTCTAAATATTAAGTCCTATTTGAAAATGCCATGATTGCAAACACAAAAAACAGCAACAAAATGTGGAAAATGTGCAGTGGGTGAATACTTTTGCAAAACTCTATATTTACGTTTTACTTATTAGTACATAGTAGTACTTATAAGTAATTTATGAGATTAACAAATACTGATTAACAGAATGGCAATGGAATGCTTGATGTTTCTGCAATTATTTAATGTAAGTAAATTGCAAAGTAAAAGTAATTGGAGAATTTTATTTTTGTTTTCTTATCACCTTATATAATGCCTTGTATAATAATTTCCTTCATTATATACTATTAGAAAGACTAAGATAATTTACTAGCACTGCGGCCTCATTTTTGTAGCCACGGGAAGTTCCTGTCAGGAAGAAATTGCTGGTGTTTTGGGAGGGGTGGAGGGATAATGGAAGGTAGTTTATGGCTGATAAGGAAATAACCACCTGCACAACACATGCTCTGCCTACTGCTTTGGCCTTAATTTAGGATACAGGAGAATGAGCTCATCAAAATATAGGAAGCTTTCATTATTGCCACTGTCTTTGAGATGTTAATCTACGTAGGCCCTTACTTTCAAATAAAATCTTTTTGTTTGTGAAATTACCGTGTCTTCTGATGTATTTTCTAAAGAGCTCTGCAACCAAAACAGATTGAAACATCAATGACAATGAGGTTTGATGTTTAACATCTTAAAAGTCTGACATGACAAATATTATGATCTATTTTAATTATCACAAGTAATAGGCTGTTCATGTAAATAATGTTTTTGAGCAATAAAAAACTTAATATTAGCATTAATATCTAAATTTAAAGGGTTTATTTACCTTGTCTTCTGAAGTATCACTTTCCTCAGATGTCTAGAAAGATAGAAGACAAAAAATGTTAAATTAAATCTGTGCTCTCAAATAAAACATTAAACCTCTAAAAACTACATTATTAATTTCTACCAGCAGAAAATATTCATGGTGATATTTAAAAAACATTTACCTGGTATGAAGATGAACTGTATGCAAGGGTCTGTGAAAAAAAAATATATATACAGCAGAATGTCAAAAGTAATCCTACTTAAATATAGACAGGTTTTGTTCAGTTCAATTCAGTTGTTGCTTTTATAGTTTTGTATTATTAGCAGAGTTTTTTATTTTACAGGAATACAATGTGATCAATTTTAATGCAAGGGCTGATTTCCTCATCTCCAATTAGGGAGTAAAATTAATTTAGATAGATATTTCATATTACCTTGTTTACCGACATATATGTTTCCATGGAAGTGCTGTTGGCAGCCTACAAATAGTGAGAAACAGAAAAAAAGTACACCAAATACCTATATTATGAAAAGTAAATTGATTCATTGTTGAATTCCCATTCCAGCTCAGTTTTTTAATTTAACTTTTTCAACTTTTGTCCTTCTTTTTGCAATGATTTAATTCATATAAATTTAATTTTAATTACAGTAATTGTGTTCTTTTCCTTAAAGGAGGTACAGTACACATCATATGCTCATTTCTTGCATTTGCTTATTGCACGCCTTACAGTGTTTTCCCCATGTTCCCATAGCTTGGAATGTTTTTCTTCCCTAAACACTTCCAAAACACATGGAAAAAAGTATAGGCCTATTGCTACTGTACATCAATTGCTGCTGCTGCATACTTTCTTTATATCCAAAGCATCAGCTAAATAATTACTGTAAATCAGTTGTGAGTCCCAGGTGAAACTAGACATACACCAGAAAAGGGAGAAAACATGTCAAATAATGCCAGTTTTATTCCTTAATATCTTTGAAATAATGAACTTTTTCTGCATGCTCTTTGGTATGTTAAGAGTTGTTGATAATGCCCTGCTACAACTTTATTGAAGGAGCCTTGCTCTATAGTACAACAGCAGTGCCTTCACCTATGATTTGAGCCCACAACCCTCAAATTATAAATCTAGATCCCTAACAACACTTCCACCAGGAGCTCATTTACCAACTGCAACCATATAAGCATACAAGCAGCCGAAATCGCATACCTCACCAAAACAAAAGTAAACTCAACTGAGCAGAGCCCACCAAAAGCGTTCCCAATAAACCCTTTTCCTGTGACTTTTCATGCAGATTCTGCACGAAAATCCCAGATTCTGCTTAAAAGGTCTGTATTTCCTGTCCCAGGAAAAAGGACATAAATATGGTGTGGATTCCCACAGACCAGAACTGTTTTTGTGTTTGACCAACACAATTTCACGAATTATTACCCCAGATTGGTATATGTCTTTGTACATGTATATATTGCCTATAGTTTATATTATCTCAAGTTTATATATTATTTATTTATTACAGATGTAATGTATCTCTATATAATATACTGTATATAAAGTGAAAATAATGAAAACATAATTGGCAAATTAACAAAAATAAAGCTTACATTAAAAAGACTGACAAGATACAGTGCTGTCATCAGTGTCAGAATGGCAGAATGACAAGCATGATAGGTTTTCCCTGACTAGTAACCTTTCTTGTGTCCTGACAGTTGAATTTGCCTGTGTTGTTGTGGCCATACAGTGAGCAATGGGTAAAAAACTCCTGTAACCCATACACATTTTGGTAGAGTTACAACCCTTTCTGTCCCGGAATCTACTTTTACAGCCTAAAAAAACAACCCTCTGTTCAAGAGGAAATAATTATTTCATTAAGCTTCTCCATACCTACTTTATCTTTTGCTTGTGATTCACGTTTGAACATTTAATTGCTTTTAGAGAATTAAGGGGAATGCTTTCCAAGCTTTCCAAATCAACTTTAAAGCATCCAAGCATCCTGACATGTCAGTAAGTGGCTGTAACAGATACAAAGGTGGCAAGAAGGAATGACTCACCGAGTGGGTATCTGGGATGTTTTCTTCCATGTTATTATTTTTTAAAATCTGACACAGCAGAGGGGAAAAAAAAGCCAGTCATTATATATGTTAATATCAAAAGCAGTTTTGAAATGTTTCGATAGTCAAAATATATTTATTTTCTGAGTAAACATACTTACAGGGTTAGCAAAAGCTGCTGTCAGCAGGCAAACAATAATTATGGTAGCTGTCATTGTTACAGTCTGCTTCTGTCAAGAGAAAAAGTTGTCAAAATTAGCAGTTGCTTCAACGCTGCAAACCACTGAGTTATTGAAGAAGCAAATTATTGGAGAAGCTGCCTTCTCTGCTGTTTAATCAATGTATCGTTTGCTTGTAGAAATCATCATTTCTTCAGATCATCATCATGAATCGATAGACTAACACACAGATGTTCTCCTTATTATCTTGATTAATACAGTATATTGACAGATTATCAGGAAACATTTGAACTGAATTTAAAGATTCAATGCTCCCCCTGGCTTTTCATGATTTTCCAACAAATTTATTTCATGAACAAATCATAACTTGGGTGTCTTATAATGCCGAACAATTGATGCTCCTAGCTCATACATAAACATGTTGATAAAGTAAGTATGTTTTATTTCCTTTGAGTTCCTTAAAACAGAAGTATATTAGCAGAATTCTAACACTATAATTACAGCTTTCTAAGCTTTCCAAAATATAAAAGTAGTAGCAGAGTTCTGAGCTTCCGAATCTGTTAATCAAAATGCATAAATGAGCCAGTTTGTAGTCCACTTAAACACTTGAATATTATTGTCTTGTGTATATTCACTAAAAGTCAAGTCAAAAATCAAGCTTTTGAATAGATAGTATGACACCATATTGGGCTGCATGTTCTCCAGTAAAGAAATCCAATTGAAATCATTTCAACCATAGTACACATTAGAGTACATGCAATATGAATTCCTTGTTAACGCAGTAAAATGCAGAAATCAACAATAAGTAAAAGTTATAGAAGTAAATAAAAAAGCATAAACAAATTTACCTTACCTTTCCTGGGTGATAAAATGAGTTTTAAAACAATAGTTGCCAGATGATTTGACAAACGCAAGTATCCTTTGTATAGTATTTTAAATATTCGAAGTCAGAATTTAATCTCTGTATTGGTTACTTACCAGAATGCCAGAGCTATTTATCGGCAGCAGTACAAGGTGTGAGAGGCTTTTCCTTTTGGCCTACAAAACTCCTACACTTCCTTCTGTCACAGAGGTATGTTTATTCCGAAATCCTCTTGTGGTTTAAAGATGGTCACTCTCTTTCCTCTCCATTGACTGCTTTATCAAAGGTTTCTAAATTTAAACCATTATTATACAGTCTGCTGCCACTGAACACAGACTAAATGAAGAGTTTTCGCCCACATCATGTAGGGAAGATCATAATGAAAGCAGAGTATCTTCCGGTTAGGAAATATTTCTGCTTCTCCCCCAAAAAAGATTTAACACTTTCATACATTCTAAACTACACCATAGTAATATAGAAAACATAAAAACAGTGCTATCTGTGTCTTCCTATGTATGCATATCTGTACTGATTTTTATAAAGTCCGATTTCTATTTCTGAGTTTGATATCTATAGTCTATAACGTATAGAAGAATTTGTTGAGACCCAGAGGAGAGGTATATGAGACTGGGACTGTTTATATCAGAAACAGACTCTTGATTAATAAAGTAAACCGACCATTCTCATGTGTTAAATTTGAATATAGGAAGATTTATTACTTCCAGGGAGTGACAGTTCTAAAGCCATCAAACTGCATGTAAGGTACAGGTCACTCATTGCTTTGTGTGCTAAATTAACTCAAAACTAACTTTGAAATGAACATGTTTTTCATCTTCCCTCTTACTCACAGTTCATTATTGTCACTGATCATATATCCATTCATTGCTACTGCTTGTGGTTGAGAAAGATTGTCATCGATGAAGCCAATGGTGATGGATAAGAACAATCCGAGATCCACACACTCTCTGGTTCTGCAGATGTTATCTGGGATTCCCACACTCCTAATGCTCAGAATGGAGACTAGGAGTAACGTATGTTACAGTAAATTTTACCCAACTTTAAAGTGACTGAAAAAAAAAATATGTTTTTTTAAATGTCTATGAAGTAACCAGTTCCATGAACTCAGTATGGGGTTGGAACACCTATGCAAGCAGTTACATGTCTTCTTGGGTAAGTGTCTACCAGCTTTGCACGCTGATTTGGTACATTAATCTTGAAAGATTTGCTCAAGCTCTCTCTTAATTAGCTTTATGATCAGTTATTGAGAGGAGTTTTAAAGTCTGTCCAGATATCAGTTTCTCACCTGGATTCAAGTCATTCCAGCACATTGACTTCCTTGTTCTTAAACCACCCCAGCACTGGTTTGACCTTGTGCTTTGAAGCACTGTTCTGCTGGAAGGTTAAGTTTTATCCCAGGTTTGGGTCTGAAGCATGTGGCAGAATGTGGTGGTCCAAAATTTGTCAGTACTCTGCTCCTTCCACAATCCCATCAGTCTTGAAAAGCTTCCCAGTCCCTGCTGATGAGAAGCAGAACTATAACATGATGCTGCCACCACCTTGCTTGACAGAAGGGGATGGTGTTGATTGAGTGAGGCCCTGTTCTGGGATTCTATCAGATGTAACACTTTACATTTCTACTGAGATGTTCCAATTTCGTTTTGTCTGACCACGAAACCTATTGCCACGTGCTTTCAGTATATATTTCAATTTTGTTGCTTTAGGCGCTCTTTTTATTCCAGCATGAGGGATTCGAAATGTTATTTTTCAATCCTATACAAGCCCCTTTTGTGGAGTGACCTGTATATTATTAACCCACGGACATTTTCTCCCATCTCAGCCATTGACCTGTTTCAAAATTGCTGTTGGCCTAACAGTTGCATCTCTATCCAGTTTCCTGAGGTACGACCTGATCTAGGCAGTGCCTAGCTGCCTTCCATTTATTAATGATCAACTTCACTATGCTCAATGAGATAGGAAGGGTCTTTGAAGTGTTTTTATACCCATCTCTTGATCAGTGCTTTTCTATCACTTTACCCCTGACTTGCTCTGAAAGCTTCTTAGTCTCCATGGTTGAGTTTTGAAAACGAGTACTTAACCATGAAGCCTCACCAAAGACGATTGTTTTCATCCTGAAATCATGAAGAACATTATTATTTCACACAGATACAGGGCCTGATTGTTGAGTTGAAGCACTCAAGTAATTGTGGTTTGCTACCCTATTTATGTGCACTTAAAATTATTTAGGTTCGCCACTGCATTTTCATACTTCGGGCTTAGAAAGAATCAGCATTGATGAGTGCATTTCAAACTGCAATCAAAGTAAAATGTACACAGTAACTTAATTAAAATCTCCCATTTACGCCACAAAATATACGTATTTCCAGGTACGCTCAGCTCCATGTTCTGCGATTCGGAATGAGGCAACAAAACTTCCGGTGAAGTGTGCGGCCCTATGGCATTGTAAACAAGCAGGCTTGTTAACACATCTCTTTGAATCCAATAGAAATATGGCTTTTGATTTTAACATGGTTTTGCCGTCACATTAATTTAGCTATTATGGAGACTAGTGAGGAGGCTGAATCATGTCGCTATTCGTGGGAACTCGAATGCGATTTTGTGACAACATGGCTATTTACAGTACTTTCACAAAGTTCATGATTTTGTGCTTTATACGAAATTTGAAATTTTCTATAACAACAATGAATTTATTTTGTTACCAAGATTTAGTAACTGATCTGAGAAAGGTCCCCTTTCAGAATTTGAATAATTATGCAATTGCAATTTTTCCATATTATCTTTTTACTTCTTGCTTTTTTTTTCATTTGAATGTGTGGAGTAGGTTGTGTATATAATACATTTATATTCACAAAAACTGTACACGAACATATGAGCTATTGTAAAAGACGTGAGCATAACAGTTACATTATGAGATTAAGCTTTTTAAAAGTGTTTTTCAGTAGTGTTTTTTAAAAATACAGGATCAAATATTGAATTACAAAACTGTCCTGGAACTGATAAACAGCATCATCATTTGAAGTTTTAATCAAATGATGCAGGGACACAGCATTATTAAAAAATAAAAACAACAAAATTACAAAAAATAATATTAAACACTGCTATCTATTGAATAACATAGGAATTATAGTAAAGGTTTAGTAAAAGAGTGCAAAATTTTAAAAATAAGCTTTTGTAAGTCAAACTCTTTTTGAACAGTAGCAGCCATTGTGTTTTGAACAACATGCTTTAATACCCATTTCTTGCAGTACTGATAGCTCAGTTGTGAAAATGTGCCAGGTCTCTCCAGCCTGATTTATGTGTTTGTTGTTGTTTGTTCTGTAAATAATGGCACTGTACTATTGTCCATTCCAAAATATTTTCTGGTGGTTATAGTGTCCTTTGTAAAACCCAGTGGCCCAAGCTCAAACTATAACAAATACACCCACACCATCTTTGCGCTTTCCACGCTGAAGAGCAGGGACAATAGACTGTAGATCTAAGTATTTAGTGAGACGACAACACACCCAGTAGACGCAGACACAACACTCTTCATCAGTAACAAACAATGAGTAGCAGCATTTCCTCACTCTACATAATGCATCACCATCGTTTCTATGTCCTGCTTTTTATTGTCCTGGAGTCACTGAAGCTGTCTCTGTGCATTCATGTATGATCACTGGCTCACAGGTAACTCCTTTGCTATGATTAACTTGCGTGGAAATCCCTTACCTACTGTACATCTGCATACTTACTAATCTTCGGCACTGATTCCTTAGTTTAAACCCAAGAATGTATCAGGACCTGTTCCAAAGCATCAACCGCTTTTTTATAAAGAGGTAACAAAAATTGTTTACAATATTCTAAATGAGGACTTACTAGTGCATTAAAACGACATCACATCTCTTGAATTACAAGAAATGCAGATATTGTCACTAGCTGACACTAGTGCTCTATTGTTTTTCACTTTTGTTGGCAAATGGTTTGGTTTAGTTTTGCATGTGATTCAAAATACGTATCACCTGCGCTCATTATCAATATGTATTAAATGGTTACCAAGACTAAGAACAGTAACTTCCAATAAGTGGAAACACCTTCAGGATTTAGAATGTTTGAAAGGATCACAAAGGCCAATAAGCAGGAGACAGTCTGCTGGTGGGACAATTAATTATAAGAACTGTAGGCTGGCAGAAAAGATGTGCAACAGTGCTGAAAGAGCTTCTCAATCCAAAGACCAGAGTTATTAGGGCAGACTTATAGACAATTAAAAATGGAAAGACAGCAGAAGAAGCTAAAAAATGCTCCAAGACTACGAATAAGGCAGTGGGCAGAAAAGAAAGAACAAAGAAAGTGGAGTAAACAGGAACAACAGAAGTTGTCTCAATGGGTGTGGGACTCAAGGTTACTCATATCCTATAGACATAAGCACCTTTTTTTATCTCTTAGTCAACTATAGGAATGAGGTGGAGCCGTCTCCAAGCTCTGAGTGTGCTCCTCACTGCCTTGAAGACAAATGAACAGAGAGGAATGAAGGGCCTAAATAAGTGTTTTTAGATTATACAGTACATTGGATCTCTGATGGAAAGCAGTCTTAAGTAGTCAGCAGTTCATCCATGGTAAACGTCAGATCCACAGAGACAAGTGGATCTGATAAGTTTGAGAAAACCCAATTAACATTCACTTTAATAGCTCTAGGCCCTTTTTCGTACCTCGAGCTCGGGTGTCAGATCATTAACTGCAGACAAGTTGACATTGATTCTTGATTTCAAAGTGCGTTAAGTCTGAAGTTATTGTGTTTTTTTGCCATGACCTATTTAAATGTTTGATTAATGCAAAATTAAGGTGCTGTTATTTAATTATATTTAATGCTTTGATCTGCTAGTTTCAAATCTCTGCCTTAAAAATGTTTCCTCATGAATTTAATCTTAGTCAAGAAAGATAATGTTAAAAAAGTGAGGTCTAAAATTGATTTAGTTACTTAACTATACATTTTATTACATGATGTGGTAAAACCAGGCTAACTCAATTTTGTGAATTTGATAATAATTTTAAGATAAAGTATTCAAACATTGTGTAGCATAAAAAAATGTGACACGTTTGGTCTTGTTACAATTACACTACGCAGGAAAAAGAAAATAATGTCCGCCTCTTCTGGTCTTTCCTTTGAGAGTATAATTATAAAGAATTTGAAGGCTAGATAACTAGTCTGCTTTACATCCTCTTTTTACTTTCACTTTGTAATGACCTCATCTTTGGCTTCCAGGATGCAACTTTTCAGATAAAATAGTCTTGACATT